ACAAACTTGGTTTTTTCCAACTTATTTCTGATATGGACGTCACGATATTATGAGAAGAAAAATTTATTCTTTACTTTTACCAATTCAATGTCGAGTGAAGAACATAGTACAATGATTAATAACGGTGAAAAGACAAAGCGCCTGTTAAACGAATGTGACAATCCAATAGAACATTCAAATCAAGATGTCGAAGTCAAACGACCGAAGGAGAATGAGCAGGTAATCAAGGTTGTTATAATCCTATAGCAATCAAGCGGTAGTTTTTGTACTGACTCAAAGTACATCAAATTGAATAATAAAACTTTCTGACTAATTTGCTTAGGCATATCGATGTATAAGAGCAAATAAAGATGATTTGACTGTCGTTTGGCTGGACCGTGTACTTTACGATGAAGTTACTGATAATGCAGACAATCGCAATGTCTATCGTCTGCAGGAAGTGGCCGACTTTGTTAAAATGTTTCGATATGTCGATCAGTGCGAACAATACGTGCATAAAATGGATGTATCGCCAACATTTGTCATCGTATCAGGGTCGTTAGGTCGTCAACTTGTCCCGGCTATACATGACTTGAACCATATTAAATTCATTTACATTTTTTGCGCAAACATTCAAGAACACGGTGAGTGGACAATGATTTGGGACAAAATCAGTGATCGTGTTTTCATCTCAACTGAACAGCTTGTTGAACGTGTTCGTCGAGATATTATTGATACGACCGTACGAAATACATCTCGTGACTTACTTATCTCCATTGAAGGTAGTTCGGTTATGGACACTCATCGATGTGTGCCTGAATTCAAATGGATGCGATTACTGAGTGATACATTAAAGCGTTTCACGCCTACCGAACGCTCACGTCAGGATATGATAAATACACTCCGCTATCATTTTGATATGAACGCTGCTAACGAGAAGTTTGTTAATGATCTTGCCGAACATTACCAACCAAAAGATGCGCTCACTTGGTATTGTAAAGCTGGGCCACTCTTTCGTATGCTCAATCGAGCATTACGCAATGGACGCATGGATATCATTTACAAATACCGTCAGATAATACGAGACATCTCATTGGCTCTCCAACATGAACACTGTGCACAACATCAATACTATGAAGTAATAACAATGGGTGATCCTTACTATGTTTTTCGTGGACAAAACATGCCGATGGCAAATATTGTAGCGCTTCAAGGAAGCATTAATAAAGTTGTTTCATTTAATGGATTCATCTCAACAAGTCATGATTCAAATGTCGCTAAAACATTTCTTCAATCGCGTGAGAGCGGATTCGAGCCTGTTCTCTTTGCTTTCAAGATAGATCGTAATCAAGAAACAACGTCTTTTGCTGATATCAAGGATTTTAGTAGTATGAAATCGGAGGATGAAGTATTATTTGATCTCAATTGTCTGTTCCGTGTTACTGCTATTACTAAAAAGGAATCTGAGGAAGCAAACGAGGTAGAAACAACAAACGAACCGCAACAGCCAAGCACAGTTCCAACTACTCCAGCACATTGGTATGTTGAGCTTGAACTCTGCTCGAAAAATTGTGATGTCGGTCAGCACTATTGGGACATTGAACATGTTGGTCAACCTCAACCCGACGAGCATGAATTGCATTTATTCGGCAAGCTTCTTCTCGAAATGGGACAACTTGATCAAGCTCGAAACTTTTATGAGACTTTACTAGTCGAAGCTAAGGACGACAATGACGACAGACTACAAGCCGACTGCCTCTTGGGATTGAGTCGTGTTAATCTAGACAATGGAGATTATTCGAGAGCTCTGCAGTGTGCTCATAAATCTTTGGCATTAGGTCGAACGCTTGGTATCTCTCTGCAAAGCATTTTGACAGAACTGGCAGTGATTCACCATGACCTTGGTCATTATCTGAATGCTTTACACTATTATCAGCAATCATTAGATCTATACACAGAAAACCAGTATGCCGATCGAGCACATATTCTAGACTATATGGGTGGGGCATTCCATCGCATGGGTCACTATGAAGAAGCTCAGATATATTTTAACAAATCCTTGGTCTTGTACGAAGCCGCATTTGGAGAAAATCAGCCACATTCAAGTCTGGCAACAGTACACAGTCATCTAGGTGCAATGTTCATGGCTCAAAGTACAAAATTCGACGAAGCGCTACGCGAGTATAGGATCGCATTGGATTTGTATACAAAAACCTTGCCTGCCAACCATCCCTGTCTAGGCCAGACTCGTGGTTCCATTGCAGAGGCACTCAAAGCACAAGGTCATTTCGACGAAGCAGTTCATGAATGTAAGCTAGGATTAGATATCATCAAGCGCACATTATCTTCCAACCATCCGTATGTAGCAAGAATTTGCAACATAATTGGAAGCATTTATGTTGATCAAGGTTTATATGAACAGGCACTCGATCTTCACGAGAAGGCCTTACTAATCTTGGAAAACACACTGGCGTCTAATCACTGGGATCTAGCACGGACACACGATTTTATTGGTACTGTACATATCAATGTTGGTCGATTGAATGAAGCACGGCAGAGCTATCAACGCGCAGTTGAAATTGCTAGTGCCAACAAGGCGGATCATCCTGATCTGGCAATCAGCTATAATAATTTGGCCAATGTTCTTTTTGATCTAAATGAGCATGATCTAGCCATAGACTATTATGGCAAGGCTTTGAGTATTCAGAAGGAGAGTTTAAAGCCTGGTCATACAGCTATTGCTATGTGTCATATGAATCTCGGGTTAGTGCTGGCAGCAAAACGACATATTGATGAAGCCCTTGAGCATTATCACGTTGCCCAAGAAATCTGTGAGCAAACTTATGGCAGTCCAGATGCTGTGCATCCAATTCTGGGTTCATTGTACCATAACCTTGGTCAGGCCTATCATATAAAGTACGATATCGATCATGCCGAACAATATTACTTACAAGGTCTCGATATTCGTCGTCGTACTCTACCTTCCAATCACAAAGACATCGGACAATCAATCTACGCCATAGGCACTATCTATCATTATCGTAAAGATTTTGTTGCAGCACGAAACAATTTCCAAAATGCTCTGGAAATTTACAAACATACGCTACCGGAAGAAAGTCTGCTTGTAGTCGAAGTACAGTATGCTCTAAGCAAATTACCACCTGAAACTGAACAGATCACACCATGAAACTTCAGCACTTTTTTCATTTTTCGAAATAAACCACTAAACAATATAATGACAGAATCTATAAACAATTTTCCTATTCTAATTAGGTCTCGAGTTTCTCTCTTTACTATTAAATAAAAACAATCTCAAGATATATCAACACTACAGCATTGCTGAGATCATTAAAAGTAATTTATCAGAAGTCCTCTAAGTAGGAAAAACTAACGTGTTTCTCAATCGTTTAGCTGTTATATGAACCACGGTAGTCGGTGGTTCAACTTTGAGAGAGCAGAAGTAAGAAAAATAGCTACATACGTTTCCAAACAAGTCATATTGGCGAACGTGAGGACAAAATTTGATCTACCACTATGCTATCTGATTCGGTTAAGCGTTTCATCTAGGAATATTCAGATTTTCGAAAAAGAAAATTCTAGTTTTAAATGACCTAATTTCAGAAACTGTTAACACAGAAAAAAGATATGACGAGAAAAGTGACGAAATTATCATGATTTCCATCATATTATTCACAACTATCCGGAACCGATAATGTGCATAACATGTTTATCGGTTACAGGAAAAACATTTTATGTTTCAATATTTGGTGTATATCCAAATGATAATATCGATTCAATTAACTACCAATGCAACCATTAGCTGTACATTAAATAGTACTATTCTCTTTGGATTTGGTACATATAATTTGTCATCAACAATTGTTATATCTAATGCAACTAATTGAATAATAATCGGACAAGGAATAGATCAAACATTATTAATAGGTACCTCAATAATGTCTATATTCTATGCTCAGTATTGTAATGAATTAAAAATCAGTTCATTATCGATTGATTTCGATCCATTACCATTTACAGCTGGTTATGTTGTTGATATAACTGATACTTGGTCTAGATGTTGAAATATAACCACCTCATCGAATTGATATTAATCGACAGGTACAAGGACTTATTCGATATGATTCACAAGAAATGAGACCAGCTTGCAATTTAAAGACATAATTTTTATCAAATATCACCAACAAATATTAATACTAGTCTCATTTCTACTGGTATCCTTCGTATACCTTTGGCATCACAAACAGAATTTACTGTCGAAGATGCTACTGTTGCTGTTTATTTTATTTTCATTCATGGTATTGTTGTTATTAATTCGACAGATTTCATCATGCAACCAATTAATATTTATTTGTCTTGAGTAGTGAACTGCATCGGAGTCATTTCGGAGTCGTCATCGGAGTCAAAT